AGTTCTGTGGCCCTCTTGGCTTATCTATTGTTTTTCTGCTTTGGATAGAGATATGGGTACAAAAATTTCATTGTCTTCTCTAATATGAGCAAAACAACAGTGCAAAAATGACAAAAATTTATGACTCTCATGGGGGGCAACAGAGAGTGGTGGGGACTGTGGCAAACTAGTTGGCACACGCCCCATCTAAAGAGGTGACTCTGCTCAGCCCCTCTGCTTTGTAGGAATGTGACCCCCATGTTACTACGTCTTCCAATTTTTCAAGAAGAGCAAGAAATCTAGATTTTGGGGTGTGATTTCTCTCCATTTTTAATAAATTGAGGTGAAATTCACATAACATAAAGTTAACCACTTTAAAGTGAACAATTCAGTGACATTTAGTACATTCACAGTGTTGTGCAACAACCACCTTTATCTAGTTCCAAAACATTTTCGTTACCCCAAAAGGAAACTCTGTACCCATTAAGCAGTTACTCCCCATTTCTCCTCTCCCACAGCCTGTGGCAACCACCAATCTGCTTTCTGTCTCTAGTGTGGATATTTCATTTAAACAGAATTGTATACCTTTTGTGTTTTTCTTTCAGTTAGCATAATGTTTTCAAGGTTTATCTATGTTGTAGCATGTATCAGAACTTCCTTCTTTTGTGTGGTTGAATAATACTCCATTTTCTAGATATACTACATTTTGATTATCCTTTTATCAGTTGATAGACATTTGGGTTGTTTCCACCTTTTGGCTATTGTGAACTGCTATAAACATTGGTGTTAAAGTCTCTGAGTCCCTGTTTTCAATTGTTTTGGATATATACCTAAAAGTGAAAATGCTAGGTCATGTGGTAATTCTATGTTTAATTTTTTGAGGAACCATCCAACTGTTTTCCACGGCAGTTGTACCATTTTACATTCCCACCAGCAGTGTACAGGAGTTCCAATTCTCTGCATCCTCACCAACAATTGTTATAGTCCTTTTTTTATTATTATTATAGCCATCCTAGAGGGTGTAGAGTGTTTCTTCACATTTTTAAGGGTAGACAACTCTTCAACTGTTTAAAAACACTGCAGGCCAATACTGTACAAGTGGAACACGATGTGTTTGTAGGCTCTGTGTGGCACACAGACCTCAGTTTATAATGTCTGGTTTAAAGAGTCTGCCACTCAGCTCTAGGAATTGACGTGGCTGCTTGCCCCTTTCTGCCTTGGCCACTGCTGGTAGCCAAGTGACTTCTGGATGGCTGATTCCTCCCACCACCCCCCGCCCCCCAGATCTATACCAGCCAGGACGTGGACCAGCTTCTGGAAGAAATCCAGAAGGCTCAGAACCTCCTGGGCCATGTCCAAGCACTGCACCACAGCACACCCTGTGAGGAGCTGACCAGCATGATGGAGGTAGGTGGTGTGAGCGAAGATTCTGGGACCTCCTCCCAGAGACACTCAGGGGACCTCATTCCATTCTCCCTTCTCACCTCTCTCTCAGTGGCGTGGCTGTGCGGCCCCCATGTCCTGAAAGTGAAACAGTGTGAGGCCCCGCCCTCCGCCGTAGCCCATAGCTCTGAGCTGGGTGGGCTGGGCGGCCTTCCACTGTGCCAAAGGATCCTGGCGGATTTTCTAACTGAAAAATGTATTTCAGAGTAAAGCCAGCCACCTCTTCTACCTGCCACTGCCCCCTCCCTTCTCCCGCTTTGGAGAATGATGCAAACCTCAACCACATGGAGTAGGCTGTCTTGAAGGCAGTCTTTCCCACCCAGCACCTCAAGCAGGGCAGACCCTGCCGGTGACTTGGTTAATTTAACATCAGCAGAATAACTCAGCCTGCTATGGACACAAGCACCATAACCAGCTACGTGCTGTTTAGACCGTACAGAGAGCTTAGCCATGGACAGATGGGAACAGAATGCATTTATAGCTTCACTGAATGAAGATGTGGATGTGAGGACCAGAAATTTTGGCCTGGCTGGATATAATGAAAGAAACACAGCACCTAGACTGAGATCTGAAATTTTAGTTTCAGCTCTTCTACTGATAATCTATAAATCATAACAACTATCAGTATTATGATTATAATAGTTCTCATGTACTGAGTGTACTTTCTAAGATAGGCACAATGCTTAATTCTTTAAATGCCTTATTTTATCTTTACAACAACAGTCTGCGGTAGATATATTATTACTCCCATTTTACAGATGACAAAACTGAAGTTAAGAGGTTGAATAATTTCCCCATGATCACAGAGATAGAAATAGGTCAAGTTTGAATTGAACTTAGGTCTGTGGGATGCCAAAACCTTACCAGGAGTTTTCCCAAATGAAATGCATGTACTACTTGTGGTTTGCAAGATAATTATAAGGTGGTACATG